ATCTGTGGTCCACGGATTCATTCTTGGAATCACTGAGACCAAGAACTTACTGAAGAACAAAATTCTGGTATCACTGGGACTATAAGCCACAATGCCCAGCTATTTTTTTTTGTTGTTGTTGCAGTTTGGCTGGGCCGGGTTTGAACCCGCCACCCTCAGCACATGGGACCAGCAACCTACCCACTGAGCCACAGGTGCCGCCCAACTTCTTTTTTTTTTTCCACTTATTTTCTTCAAGTGATGTAAGCTCACTTTAGTAGGTGTGAACAACTTCTTTAGGGCTAGCGAACCTTCTGCGCATACGATTTTTGACCTTAGAAAACAGGAAAAAATCACATAGGGCCAAGTCAGGACTGTAGGGTGAATGAGTTATTAACTTCTGTGGACTCCAGGAACTGAATGGGGATGTTGGCTGCATGATACATTATTGTGTTGCAAGATGGACCTCATAGACCTGTCCTGGGCCGTGTTCTTGAAGCTTTCAGAAAACTTTTGGTAGGCATACCATTGTGTACCACTGATCACTAATAGCCCTTTGCTCCTACAGAGGAATAGTTACAACATGACCATTTTTGGAGAAGAAAGTTGTCACAATTTTCTTTCTGAAACTTCAGGGCTACTTCATTTTTGTTGGTAGATCTTCTCTTCTCTTCTCTTCTCTTCAGACAGAGTCTTACTATGTCATCCTCAGTAAAGTACTCTGGCATCACAGCTCACAGTAACCTCAAACTCTTGGGCTTAAGCGATTCTCTTGCCTCAACCTGGGATCCCAAGTAGTGGAGACTACAAGTACCCACCATAATGCCCAGCTACTTTTTTGTTGCAGTTGTCATGGTTGTTTGGCAGGGCCGGACTCGGTTTGAACCCACTGGCCCTGGTGTATGTGGCTGGTGCCCTAGCCACTGAGCTACAGGGGCCAAGCCATTGTTGGTGGATTTTCTAAATTCCTTTATTTAGTTAGTTAGTTAGTTGTTGTTGTTCCAGTTTTTGGCCGCGGCTGGGTTTGAATCCACCACCTCTGGCATATGGTTCCTGTGCCCTACTCCTTGAGCTACAGGCGCCGCCCTGTTGGTAGATTTTCACTGGGGGAAAAAAATCCACAACTGGGCGGCACCTGTGGCTCAGTGGGTAGGGCGCCGGCCCCCATATACCAAGGGTAGAGGGTTCAAACCCAGCCCTGGCCAAACTGCAACAAAAAATAGCCCGGCATTATGGCAGGCACCTGTAGTCCCAGTTCTTTGGGAGGCTGAGGCAAGAGAATCACCTAAGCCCAGGCGTTGGAGGTTGCTGTGAGCTGCGTGATGCCACGGCACTCTACCAAGAGCGATAAAGTAAGACTCTGCCTCTTAGAAAAAAATCCACAACTATTGACTGATGTTTATTCTTTGGATCAAATTGGCAAATCCAGGTTTCATCACCAGTAATGATTTCAGAAAGTCATTTAGGCTCACCTCTGTCGACTCTGACCAGCATTTCTTCATGTCATTCAACATGTGTGCACTTTTACTCATCTGTCAAAGTGTGGGGCACCCATCAGTTGAAACTTTCCTGACTCGAAGATAATTGTGCAGTATTTTGGACATTGCCATTGATTCAATCTGTACTGCTACTTCAATATCCCTAAATGTCACTTGATTGTTTTCATAAACTACTTTTTCCTTAGTGGTGATGTTTTCCTCAGTTTCCAGGTGCTCACTCCTCTCCTCGTCTTTCAGTGAAGTTTGGCCTTTTCTAAATTCTTGAAACCACTGAAAAATTGTAACATGGTCCATTGCAAATGCTTAAGGCTTTGAAACTTGATCCACTTTTAAAATCATAGAAACTCATCACCAAAAGTGCTCTCTTCCTAGCTCCATAGCTAATGGCAACAGGGTGTCCTGCAGACAGAAACAAATGAAGCCCGCTCAGTAACACCAATAAGCTGAGCAAGTTTCAATTTGCACAGCTGAATCAGAAAGAACGAATACTTTGACTGTTTTACTTGGAAATAAAATAATGGACCATAACACAGTTTGTCTCAAAACTTTCATAGTGACTTAGAACCTTAGGCACAGTGCTTGACCTTTCCTAGCCTTGGATTCACTACTTGCAAAATGGGGATAATAATAGAACCAAACTATTATGGGTAGAAGTGATGATCATATGGAATGACATATGTAAAGAGCATAGCACTGTGTATGTCATACAAGTGTTCAACAAATATAAGCTGTAATTTATTTATTAATTTGTCAGGGAGGAGGTTAGAGAGACTTGCAAGAAGGAATTCATGTCAAAGTTGGTGGCATTAGCTGATTACAAGGGAGCTATTTTTAAAAATCATTATTTACATTGTTTTTCAGCCTCTAAAGAAATGTTTGTACTCTAGGGTAAGACAATCAAGGTTGCTAATCAGTGACTTTCAGATAGGGTGATTATTTTGGAATGTCTGGATGGGCCCAATATAATTACAAGGGTCTTTAATGTAGAAGAGGTAGATAGAAGCATCAGTGTGTCAGAGTAATGCCATTACTTCCTTTGAAGATGGAAAGGACCTCAAACTAAGGAATGTGGGTGGCCTCTAAAATGTGGGAAAGGCAAGAACAATATTTTCCAAAAGAGTCTCCAGAAAGGAGCTCAGCTCTGCTGCTACCTTGATGTTAGCCCAGCATGACTCTTCAAATTTCTGACTTCAAGAATCATCAGATAATAAATTTGTGTTGTTTTAAGCCACTAAGTTTGTAGTAATTTTTTACAGCAATCACAAAAAAAAACTAATACAGAGAAATTGCTAAGAAGATTTGTTAGTACTTGAATATTGACAGAGAGAGAGATAGGTGAGAGGGGAGAGAGGAGAGGAAGAGAGAGAGAGATACCAAAGATAATTCCAAGGCTATGTTCTGTAAATACAGATGTTCCAAGGTGGACATTTTTTTCCTTCTGTCTGGACATTTCATTCTCTTCTGAAAACAGCATCTCCTGTCACCTTTTGGTTTCATTTAGAAATTTTTCTATTTTTTTCCCCTCTAATCATGTGGTTCTGCTAGGGGCCTCATACTTACGTCACATATTCATTTTTCTCTATAGGACTGGCTATGGTACTTAATCCCACCCAAAATCTTCATCTAGTATTTTAAAAATAGAAGTGAGAGAAGAGAGACACTTTCTGTCTTGTAGAAACTTGATAGGTGTGAACTCACAATTTGTCAGAGTTTTGGTTCCAAACCAGTACAACAGGACTTCCAGAAGTTCTGAAAGACCCAGGGGATGAGAGAGGTGGAATTGAGAGCCTGAGCTGGAATTTGAAACATTCCAGTTGCTGATTCCACTTATTCCTAAGGTCTTTTGTAGACCAATGCTTTCACAACTTGGGTTACACAATAACTTTCTCTTTTTGCCTAAGCCACTTCAATTTGGTTTTTGTCATTTTAACCAAAGTATCCTGAAAACTTTAGGCAAAAATGAAGGAAATAAACCCAGTATTCAAATAAAAAGTAAAAATATACATGCACAAATCTATTAATTATGCAAAAATTACCTTACTGCACTTTCTGAATGCAAAACATTTCAGTAGTGAAATGAATAGGATGAAGTTCTGCTTCCAGGCACTTCCAAATTTATTCATCCTAAAATATTTGTGTCTACATTACCAACATGTGTTTTGGCAATTGGTCCTCCCTATAATCTCAGTATACTTACTTGACAAATGTAAAATAAAAATGAGCTCAAGAAAGCCTGATTTGTAAAATACACAAGTGGAAGAACCGCAAAGGTTAACTGGAAACATTTTAGGATATTCAGATCTCTAAGGGCAATTATGAAACACTCCTATAAAATGCTCCCATCACAGTCAAAATACTCACTGGGAAAGACTATTGGTGTGGCCCTGTGGCCATTTTCTTATTCATAATAAGCCATGTGTTTCTTAATTCCATCATAACTAGAGTAAAAGAATGAGAAATTAGTTCGGAATAAGTCACTTCTGGCCTACATTCCAATTCACTTTGGATTCACTCAGGTGTGTGTTTATTTTAATAGTTGATCTGAAGGCATGTGACATGCCACAGCTGACCAAATTCTAAATATAAAAATACAGAACTTAAAAGTAAGCATGCATGCAGCATGCAATAGTAATCAAATTAGCTTCCTTAAAATGGTAAATGCCAGAAAACCTCCAACCACTTAGGTCAAAGTTCACAGCAGCACAGGTCTTATATTCTAAGAGGGCCTTTTAGGATTCTAAGGTTCAAATTCTGAGATAGCTACCTAAAAAGCAGGGCCAATGATGGGTCTTATTTGACAATAGGTATCCTCCTCCCCAAGATAATCAGGTTTGTTCAAGACTCTTTTTTTTTGCAGTTTTTGGCCGGGGCTGGGTTTGAACCCACCACTTCCGGCATATGGGGCTGGCACCCTACTCCTTTGAGCCACAGGCGCCGCCCTCAAGACTCTTTTTAAGAAAAAGCAGACTGTTGTCACCAAAAGTTGTTCAGAAACAGAGGCAAGAGAATTTTTATAGAGAGGAATGATTGGATAGACACCAAGCATGATATGGACTCACACACAGGAGGTGTGTGGATGAGAAATCAACATTGTCCTCTCTTAGGTAGCTGAGGACTGCGAGTGATGAGAAATGATGAGGAAAAAGAATAATGTGTAGTGAGATAAGTAGGGGAAAGGGGGAAATGGTGGCAGGGATCCAGGGTAGCCAGAGAGAGAGAGATAGGGGCCTGAGAGCTGGCTGCATGCTACGTTTTATCCAGGGTGAGTAAGGGACGTGCACACAGGAGCCTAAATGGCATATCTGTCAGTGTTACAGACACTAAGAAGCGAGCGCTCCAGACTCACTACTAGTCTTCCCGGCAGAGGCGGCGAAGGCTCCGCCCCTCGTTTCCCACCCGTTTGAGCCCCGCCCTTCTTTCTAACCCCGCCCCAGCCAGTCCCCTGACTCTTCCCACCGCCCTTCGCGTCCGCGCTCCGGGTTCCTGGCTCTGCTGAGGCTCGGCAGTATTTGGAGCGCGCAGGCGCGGCGTGCGACTGGTAGAGTGCGGAGTAGCTGAGCGGGAGGCGCAGTAAGTGTGGCGGCCGCGCGGCGCTTCTAGCGGGAAACGTGGTTTGGCTCAAGCGTCCTGGAAGGGGTAGGGGTGGGTCGGGGTGACTTGAGTCCTGTAAGGAGAAACTATCCAGACGTGCAGCAGTGTTGGTGGCATTGCTGCCTGAGGGGTCGGACCGGGGCCGCGTGGTGAAGAGTGCATGGTGGCGGGAGTGAGTGAGGGTGTGTGTAAGGAAAAAATTGAAGAAGGCGTTCAGAGACTGAAGTCCACACACTGGCTGGGCAAGACCAGGATATTTGCCAAGGGTGCTAGAGGGTATCCCAGCTTCAAGTTAAGTCCCGCACTGGGTGCCATGAGTGGCGTCCCAGGCTCGTCCCTTCCTCCCGCCCTGCCTTCTCGGGTACAGAGTTGTCAGGAACGTTCCCCGTCCCAAGGGAGAGGATTTGGGGGATGTAGGCAGTGGGCCCAGGCTAGTGCAAAGAAGGGCATGGCGTTCCTGTGACTTTTCTTTATCCCGCCCCCGGGAATGTGTCTCTCTTCTGGTCCATTGTGCTCCTGGACATTTTAACAAAGGCTATGACTGTTTTGTAGGCGGTGGCGGGTGACAGGGGGTGGGAGGTGCGTGCGAGGTCGTGCGGTGCAGCCCGGGTGGGGGTTTGTGGTGGTGGCGGGAGAGATGGGGGGGCGGGCAGGCATTGGAGCCATGAAAGCAAGGGAAAAACCTTCCTGTTTGAGCTTTTTCCTTCTTTCTGGTCCGCTGATTTTGATCAGTGATAGGAACAGACCCAAGAAGGATATGACTGGAAAATAGTGTATGTGTTTGAACCCTGGCTGCAAGGAATTGGTTTTGTGATTGTGCTGTTTATGTATTTTCCAAGTCCCTTTAGGAGAAAACTGAAACTAATGGAATTTGAGATAACTATTTGAATGAGAGGGTGAAAAGGTGGAGTAACAAAACTTTGAGCTAAATTATTGCCTTTTGATAGTCATAGTATAAAGCAGACTTTGAAGGATGTGAAAGTGTAGATCAGAATAAGTGAAAAGTTAGGGTACTGTGAGGTGTTTCAGTCAAGATTGGATTATTGAGAATTTGTGCGGGTGTGCCATCAAGTTATTAGGCAGGTATTAAGGATACAAAACAGTAGGGCAAATACTATAATAAGGATAAGGTTCCACAGGCTTGTTTTCCAACCTAGAATCTTTTATGAAAAATAATATATGTGTTCCTAAGCATAGATGTTGATATTTTTACTCATTTGTTCTAACTTATTACAACAAAATAAACTGAATTTCCTACTTCTCCACCCCTTTCCCTTGATTGTGAATTCTCTTTTATAAACATTTACTTTAAGATCTGAAGTATGTTTAAAGACACAATCTGTGCCCCCCTACTCTGCATGAAATGAACAGAATTTCTTCTTGTTTTATTGTTATTTTATAATTTTCCTATTATCTAAGTTTTATGCTGCTATCATTACCAAATTGGGGGGGTCGCTGTTAGGGATATCCTTTCTCTTTTCTAGTGCCTGATGCACTTCTATTTATTTTTCCAAATTCAGCCCAGTTCACTTGGAAACATTCGCCAACTCCCCCAGAATGAATTTATTACTCCTTTTTCTGTTAAATTGATACCATTGGCCATAATAAATGTTGTTAGGTGGTAATTCATATTGCATAAAGTTAATGGAATAATAGAAGAAATTCAGAATACCGAAATTGTATTTAATATTTGAGCAGAATTATTTGGAATGTGGATAAGGAATAAGTATGGATAGATAATCCTAAAAGATGCAAGAATATACAGATAAAGGGAAAATGGGGGATCAGAAGCAGCACAAGTTTTTCAGAAAGCCTAGAACTAGTGAAAAGTTAACTTCTAATATAAAATTAATCATTTGTAGAAAGACACAAATAGGGTATTGCTAGAATTGAGGGAGTACCACAAATGAATCAAGTTTGCCAAATGGTATCCTATGAAGGCTAATGTAACTGAAGAAAGCTGTTATCTAACCAGTTGTAATATACTTCTAAATCTTGAGCTCGTTTGAACCTTTAGCTACTGGATCTCTTCATGATACGATGCTCCCTGATAGACTTGATCCGACCATTTCTGCCAACCTGTCTTTGACATCTCTCTCAACTTTACCAGCATCACTGGCCTTCCAGTCACCTCTGGCTCACAACAAGTTATCTTTCCCCTGCTCTTTGCCAGAGTCACTCAACTCTCGTCACCCCTACCTCCACCTTTCATCACCTGAATGGCTTTAACTATTGGAACTAATAACATGAGCAAATGATCACTCACTTTATAAAAGAATGGAATTGATTCTTTAAAAATGAGCCAGGATTAACTTCTTGGTTAGTCAAGATTTCTCTGCCACCAAACCAAAGCAACTATTCCACCATTAATAATAGGTGTCGAGTTTATAGCATTTAAGTCTTTGTAAGTGTGCTGTATGAAGCTTACACAATGATGAAATCACCTTACTATGAATTTTTCAGAACATATCCCCATCTCTCATATAACTGATGTATGGCTGTATTAAGAGCTTATCGTAATGTCTAGCACATACTAACGCTTTTAAAATGGTAGCTACTATTTGTTATTTTCTTGTGAGCTCCTATTATTTCAGTAGCAGTTAACTTCAGAATGTGGGTGTATTGATAACTCCCACCCTGTTCAAGCTCCAGTTCTATATTTGTAGATTCCTCAACAGGTTGCTTAGCAGAATGATTCTCAAAGTTCAGCGTGCTCAATCATCACAGGAATGCATACATTTCTGGGCCTCATTACCAGAGTTTCCGATGTTTGGGATAGAGCACAAGAATTTCCATTTCTAATAAGTTTTTAAATGATGTTGATGTGGCTGGCCCTGGGAAAACAATGAGCAGCACTTATCTAGATGGCATTCAGACAAATTGGAAGCAAGGGACCAAAAGACCAAAAATTTGTAGACTTTTAAGAACAGAGTGCATTTAAAGCTGGTAGTGTCAGGGTTCAGGCATGGTCCATGCCTGTAATCCTAGAACTCTGGGAGCCTGACACAGTAGGAGGATTGCTTGAGCTCAAGAGTTTCAGACCAGCCTGAGGAAGAGCAAGACCTCATCTCTATTAAACATAGAAAAATTAGCCTGTCATTGTGGCAGGTGCCTGTAGTCTCAGCCACTCAGGAGCCTAAGTTAGGAAGATCATTTCAAACCAGGAATTTGAGGTTGCTATGTGCTAGGCTTACACCTAGCCTAAGCAACAGTGAGATTCTGCCTCAAAAAGCCCCCCAAAGCTGGTAGCTTCAAATATCTTGTAAAGTATGGAGGGGACAGTACTGAGATAAGACACTTGGATTTGATGACCAGGTTTTCTTTTTGTTTGATTTTGGTCTGTGTCAGGTGCAGAGGCTTGATTTAATTATATTCCTCAGTTGGTGGAATGTTACATCCAAATTATTATGACCAGAACAACATATCATAGGTATGTGAGATAATATTTCTTAATGTGTGTGCATCAGACATTCATAGGGAGCTGTTTCCACTAACACACTATGTTGAACGTTCCTCCCTCCAAGATCAACTTTATTATCAAATTGGGATTCAGAGGCGTGGAATCTAGGCATGAAAAAAATTCTGTGGTTAAGAACCACTTCTTTGAGCAATGGTGATCAGTATGTGGGGGCAGTGAAAATAAACTACTTTTGTTGGTTAATTGTTGATAAAAGGAGAATGGAAGAAAATGATTGGAGTTTGACAGTTTTATAGGATCAAGAAAATAGGAATGTATAAAGAGTGATGAAAAGTCTACTGGATCTGGGGAGTGATTGAAGGTATAATGGTAAGAGGTATAATTGATAGAATAGAGTACTGGAGCAAGAGAGGAAAGAATGGAATTAAGGGTTCCCAGTGAAGAAAGGAGAAAAGAATGAGTGGAAAAAAATAAATCTGAAGGTGGAGGTGGGAGAAGCTAAAGAACTCTCTTTAAAGGAAGTTTGTTTGCAAACTACTTCTTCAGTGGAGCTTAAGTGGTCTGTGAACTCTTAAGTAGAAGGGATAATTTTCAAGTTTAAGAATGCTACCAAATAAAGCATTCATTACAAATGAAATTAGTGACTTGGCCCCTGTGGCTCAAGTGGCTAAGGCGCCAGCCACATACACCAGTGGCGGGTTCAAATCCAGCCCAGGCCCACCAAACAACAATGATGGCTGCAACTGAAAAAAAAATAGCCAGGCATTGTGGCGGGCACCTGTGGTCCCAGGTACTTTGGAGGTTGAGGCAGGAGACTCGCTTGAGCCCAGGAGTTGGAGGTTGCTATGAGCTGTAATGCCACGGCACTCTACCCAGGGGGACAGCTTGAGGCTCTGTCTCAAACAAACAAACAAACAAACAAAAAATGAAATTAGTAATTTCAGCTATCCTAGCTATCTGTAATGGATACACAATTGTATTTTCCTCAACTTTACTTATTTAGAATATTTCTTTGAAATTAAGCTACACATGCTGTGTTGTAATGGTGTTGCTGTAGCCCTTAACATAAATAAGACAGCAGGGCGGTGCCTATGGCTCAGTGAGTAGGGCGCCGACCCCACATACTGAGGGAGGTGGGTTCAAACCTGGCCCCAGCCAACCTGCAGCAAAAAATAGCTGGGCGTTGTGGTGGGCACCTGTAGGCCTGTAGTCCCTGCTACTCGGGAGGCTGAGGCAAGAGAATTGCCTAAGCCCAAGAGCTGGAGGTTGCTGTGAGCTGTGAAACCACAGCAGTCTACCAAGGGTGACAAAGTGAGACTCTGTCTCTTCAAAAAAAAAAAAAAAGACTGCCATATCACAAGTCTTGTATGATCTTCACGCAATTATTCAACAATTATTTATGTGCCAATCCCTTGCCAGGTATTGTTTTAACCACTGAGGATACAACAGCAAATGAAACAGTTGTCTTTTATTGTAAACATCTATTCTAAAGGACTTTACATCTTATTTGAGGGAGGCAGATAGTAAATAAAGTATATAAGTAGGAAATACATAAGATGTT